TAGTTGCGAAACGGTCATCAAAAGGTTCAATCCAAAACGAAGGGGTAAGACGGGAACAGGGTAGGTCAATTATTGCCCCATCGGCATAGTTTACATGGTGTTCAGAGTCCAAAAAAATTGAAACCAGCCTATTGCGTATGGTGAGAATTATAAGGATGAATGAGTGTTTATGGCTAATTGTTAGTAGAGCGGATGAGTCACCTAACTGGACTGTGAAGCACTGCAATTTCCCATCGTAAGAAAGGAGTCACAATGATTCATTACAACCGGCAAATAGAGGTCGGAGCGACCACTGAAATAGATATAAAGTCTAGTATCAAANTGATAGAACGATATCCGGTTACAAATAAATGTAGCAACGAAATCCAAACGGAACCAGATAAAACATGTGATAAAATCCGGGAAAAGTGAGAAACGTTTCCAGGGATACATAAATTATTAAGAACACTGACCTGCTACACGAGACCCAGCAACTACACCCAGGCTACGCAAACCATGAGCAGCTGCGTTCACTTGTTCCGTAAGTTGTCCATAGGTCAAACAGGGCACGAGGTATTGTTCTTCGACTGAGGAAATGGAAAAATAAACAAAGACAAAGAATAGTAATGAGAATAACAGAAAGAGACGAATCGAACCGATGACGAGTGTGTTTGGGTAAAGATTAGAACTAGTGAAAAGTGAATTGAACCCATAAACATACACTCACCAATGAGCAAAAAGTCAATCAAATTTCTCAAAAACCTATGCTTCACTTAAAAGCCTCGATAGATAATCCAGTCAAATTTGATGCGACACTGTTGATTGTTTCTGTCATAGAAACGTGTTGTTGTCATACGACGCAGTGGTTAGCGGTATCCGTTAGTTGTTTCCAGTCCCTTATCCTGAATGCTGTGCAATTAATCGTGCTCCCATTGACTCCGACCCCGTTTTGCTTTCGTGGGCACCGCGTTCGCATGCATTGATGCACTGATTGCCAGATAACCACATCACAGTGGATTTATGTGGTGATCCAGACTTCAGTGACCGCAATCCATGCACGACTAAATACAGTTTCATGTCATCCAATCACCGTTCAGGAAGCTCGACCAATGGTACACTGGGCGAACGTAACATCCGAGTTAGTACATATGATGCGTCGGCGCAAACGGTTACGTAATTGGACGACGGCCCTTCAATCAATCATATGAGCTATTACCTTCTGTAAAAAACGCTCTAATTCGATCAATAAAAATAAGCATTTGCTGCTATCAATTCCTCGTGTATTTCATTGATGTGCGCAGTTCGGGTTGGAGCCAATTCAGTTCTGAGCAGTGCCCTACGGATTCTCGTATTCCTAAATTCAATACTATTCCGATTACTACAATCTAGCACAAAAATTTGAATTTTTAAAGTTGCCCACGAGATACATGCGATTTGTGAGAAACACGAATACGCATTCAGGACAATGCAGAGGTGAATAGCATTGCTTGTGACAGAAATCCCGGATATTATGAAAGAACGAGGGCGAATTCAGAACATTTGAGTTAAGTGTCTACAACTTTTATCGACGCAATTTCGTGCACCCGTTTTGGTTGCTGTCTTCTGGCTAACAATTTGGATGGAGTAGTAGGAAAAAGACAGGAAAGTTGGAACAGAGTCGAAAAGAAATGGAGAATTTCAGTAGACTATGGTTGCAAACCATATCACTCAGTGTCTCTAACCGGTTGTAACAATGATCCCGAGATTCCCAACCAGGGAGCCTAAAGCGACGCATATCACCGAATCTTGTGGTTAAGATTTTCATACCCTATTGCCAGGTCTTAGTCTGACCACCCTTGGTTTTCTTCCACTCACTGCCTGCCTCAGCAAACATCTCTCGCCGTGGCAACCGATCGGGTGACATGCGTAACACTTAATCAGTGATGCGTCCACCGGGTGAGATATAACTGCCCAAGTAACAAAACTTATCCACTCGCTACATTACTTTCACAGTTGGAGTGAGATTGGGCGCCAGACAAATCCAGTCTTGTAGGAACATTTTACTCTACGAAGAAGCAAAACGTATACCGAATATGGCTAAACTAGCACCCAAACTATTCAGAAGTGCTTCCAAATGACCTGGATCTTCATTTAGTAGCACGATGCCATCTGATTATAAAAGATTAGACACTACCATTTGGAAGCAAATGGATACCACTATCCTCGCACGAGGATACGGCTGTTTCCATAATCAAATGTATAACAAAGTTAAATAGAAAAGGAGAAAGAGAAGGCAGCCCTGATGAACACCAGTTTCTGTGGTGAGCTCGGACGAAAAGGTGCCGAGCAACAGCATATTAATTCAATAAAGCATCTGTTAACCAATAATTAGTTTCCGGGAGTTCTTTCTGATGAACACACACCTTTGTAGTTCTGGTACTGGATGTTAAAATAACTTCGGCACAGTTGGAGTTGATTGAAGTTGATATGTATTTGATGAATTATCGTGTAAAGGAGGCCTGAGCTGAAAAGCTAGGAAGCAATGGACAGCTGATATGACAGGGTTGGGTCTCACCAGTAGTGCTAATCTATCGATCCAACTGGGATCGAATCCGAGACCACACAGGTAGAAAGCAAGCATAATACCCACTCGGCTACCGGGCAGATGATCAGACCGTTTCACATTTTGATTATACATGATATAGCACAAGCTCGCAAAGATGTGTTGTGGTATATAATGTGTATCCATCGCAGCCCGGTCATGAAGAGGTGGATGCATCCGGAATCCTGCGGGCAAGGCAACCCACGGTAATGGGAATTATTCCAGGGATATTTATCAAACGCTGGATGGATTTGCTAATTTGGTTAGCTTGGTCCCAACATATAAGAAAAAGAGGTTTTCAGGAGCACAAACCAACAAAATACAGTCTGTTTATCCATCCCATTGTGAGCACATTCGTGACTGACAATTTCAGAGAACTCATGTGTCGTGCGCGCTACCTCTCGATTTTTGATCTATCCACTTATACCACTCATGAGTAGTCAAGAATAAAATAAAAAAACGGCCACCTGGAGGAATTTCCAATACTGTGCAGCACGTGTACCATTCCCCCACAGATAGACTGAACGTGACAACAAGAGCATTGCAAAACGTACAAGCCGGTAATCACTCAGTCTCGTGTTGGGGTGAGGGGTTTTAAATGCCACAGATCGCGGACTATGATCTAATCAGATCACAGAAAGGGTTGGAAAGAATTTACTTGCTTAAAGTCACGGGTGAGGGACGAGACGATGGTGAACAATGGAGCACTCGTACTGTATAATCAAATTGCATGCTGTCGTGGATTTACACTCGCGGTATTCAACCAGAACAACACACACCTTCGTTTGGAAGCAACGAATGTGCAAAAGCATCATTCGGACAAAGATCGTTAGAACAATCAAGCTATTTTAGAAACCAATTGTGATTCAAAGAAAATTTCGTTCCGTCATTCATTTACTTCTCATCACGAAATAAGTCATAGAAAAAATGATCACTGATAGATTTTTGGTACAGCAGACTGACTGAAGTGACATCTAAAATATTGTTATTTGTTTTATTTGTTATGCACCTTTTTGAGTGATCAGCAACAGGCAGGGTAACACCAAGGGCAGGAGGACGTGATGTTCAATCATAGCAAAAGGACAACCTAAGCCCTGGAACTTAGATTGGTTGCATCACCAGGTTAGACGAGGTATTGCACCGGACAGCAGCAAAGCTGTCTATAGCAAAATTAATGTGGCGCCGGTGAAATACGGACAAGGAATCCCAGGGCCTAAAGCCCACCGGCGACAGTGACTAAAACCGCAAGACCATCAACACTCATATATCTAGGTCGGGTATTGGTACCTGCATCCATAAGGTGAGGATAATAATCACAATAATTCAATCCTCATTTCCGTGACCGATTATCCGGTACGATTGACTTCATTCAATTGTATTTCAAATGTAATACACCAAAAGAGTGATCAGAATGAAAGGGAAAATCCTGTACACCGAGCAAGTAACTTACGGCAAGAATAAATAGCTATATCATTTGGCTGACCACCAAGTAACAGGTTCTCCGCGTAATTAGTAAAACAACCTGGAAACCACACGGGTTTAGAGTCCATCGATACGCCGGTATCGATCGCCTATGGTGATAAAGATAAAGAAACATTATGAGGCACTGAAACCACAAGTGCATCAAAAGGTACCAGAAAGGTGTTGTTTTCAATCCAAAATAAATTAAAGAGAAAAATGGCACCTTGAAATCAATCTTTACTCCAAATGTAAAACTTTCCAAACAAGAAACAAGTCAGTTATATTGGTCTTCAGAAAGAGTGGATCGATAAAAAGTGAACTACAGTTGATTTGATCCATTGTATAGGATCTACAAAGAAATTGACTTTCCACAGATGTGGTCAGCTAGAGACAGTGGTGATGGGGTTCAAACTCAGGATCCACGAACCAATCGATAAGTCAATAATATTTGCCACTTGACCAACGCTGTACGATGGTTGTCACTTGAAGTGAACTCATTCGATCGGTATTCGAGATAAGATAAAGTGCTTACTCAACTCAAAAAGAGTGATCATCAATAAAAAAGCAAGGGACATTTTATCGGAGCACGAGCTTCCACCGAATTCAATAATCAGAGTGAAACACAATAAGAAAGAACCCTAATTCGCCGACCACGATAACACGAAGGCGGAAATGGATATAACCACCTTTACGAAAATCACAGACGAGTAGAATGTGAACGATACACGGTGATCTCAAGACAATAGTTCTCACTTTGCTGGGTACAGATTTTGTGTCAAACAAAGTACGATACAATAATCCGAGAGGACCAATCAATGTTTTGTTCGTGGGCACTATATTGCCGAACGTTCCAAACCAAAAGCCCATGATTTTCCAACCGATTCACCACTAGTTGAGTCTACGGTTAGCCATAACCTAACCCGCAACGCAGTGGGCTGATGAGTGGAAACCGCAGTTCAGCGTCCAATGAGTCCTATTGTATTTTCTTGAAGCGCGTTTCACAAGTAACTTTTTGCATAGTACACCATATCAGTTAGTCAAATCAATGGTCATAGACAGCGCAAATTCCGTGAATGGTTCGGTATGCTTCCTCTTAGAGGGTTCGATAACGGGGTTTCTCAATCGCTTCAGATGAACTGGCCCATTAAACCATTAGTATCTCCGTATTTTCACGGACAGATACTAAAAAAGGGCACTTCTTGATACAAAAACGAGGCTTTGTTGGCCCAGGGACGAAATAAATCTTTCCACAGTAGCAACCATATAGGATATTGAATAGATCCTGTAAGACGCTTAAGGTAGGAAGGACATGTTTGGGGTTGAAATAACCGATGATTGGATACAAGTGTTACTGGAAGCCCGACGAAAAAGACCAGACAGTTTAATGAAGCAGGGGTTAAAACACAGAGATATAAGTTACAGGAGCTAATTTAGATGGTGAATGTTTGGATTAGCCCATTCGATTTTTCACAGGCACCAGGTACTGCTGATGATAATCGATGTGGGTTTCACAGTTTCATCGCACTAAAATGCAAACAATGGGGAATTACCGATCTCCCAAGGAGTGAAAGCCACATCGAACATCATCAACAGTGCCTGGTGGCTGTGAAAAACCGAATGGGCTATTCCAAACATTCACCGTCTAAACTGATTGAGCCATTCGCACAGGGTGATAACCATCGACCGTGTAGCCCAAGTGTAAGGGTTTTAAGTCCCAGCCCGAAGAATCGCGGTTCGGATCCTGACAGGAACACAAAAAGTACGCACTGCTGACGAGTTCCAAATAAGACGAAACAGCGGTCTAGTGCTCTTTGTTTCGCGCTAAAAGGAGCTAAATTTATTATGCCAATTGTTTTTTGATCTCATCGTTCTGAACCCGTAATTCAGTTTTTATTGCACTAGTACAAAAAAGCAGTAAACCCCATGATTGAGGGACAAAGTGTACGAAGGGAAAACATTCCGAGTTAGTTGATTTTCGTTTTGAAGAGAAGGATCGGGGAGAGAGACAAGAGGTCTGTTCTGTGGAAGGAGGATTGGGTGTGAGCCATGTGGGAAATACAAACAGACACTTTGCACGGATGGCCATTTGTCTGGACTCTAGAGTGGAGAAGAAATGTAAGAGAAATGGAGGCAGATGAGATAAACTTGGATAAACCAAATTCAAAGTAATTGCGATGACATAGGGATACAGAGGTAACCGTAAAACAACGGGCTAGTAACCGCAATTTAGGCGTTAAGATCTAACTGTCTCACGTTGAATGCGATGAAACAGAAGGTAAGCTCGAGCGAACAACCGTCTAATGAGAAACCTATCTTGCCCGCAGCACAAGGAGTAAGTGAAAAAATATAGGGAGACGATGAAATAGAAGAATGAAGAGGAAGACCCGTGAGTAAGCATACAGTTGTGGAGTTGAGAGAAACTGAAGCAAAATGAAGTCGTGAGAAGAAACGGGTAGCCTCAGATCGCTCATGTAATGAACGTAATTATGCGAAAATGCAGTATGTAAGTGACTTGCGTAATTAGTATATGAGTAACAGTTTCAGTAAGCATACGTCCGCAGGCACGCAAAAAGACAGACGAACTGAAAAAGGGCAAGCTTAGGCATTTCATGTAATTCGCGTTGTGGTGAAACAGGCAGTGAGTTATTCGACAAGGACAGCTCCATACTGAAGTTTCGTTGGCTGAGGCAATGGAATCTTCGAGTGAAGTAGGTCACGAGGACATGCGTGCGTATGGGTGGTAGTAGTCAGTATCTGCCGATCATTTATTAACTACATAGGGAAGTACAGTCAAAGGTAAGACAGCAACAGCCCCAGGTGGGAGAAGCAGTATCCCATGAAACGCGAATCTGGTAGGCAACTGTGAAACAATGACTGCATTGCACGCATACGCTTGATATTTAGGGAAATTTGAAACAAGCAAGATTTCAAATTGACCCTGTAAGATGCTTTATTGTATGACTGAAATTACGTACACCGGACCTACCTGTACTCTGTTAAAAACCCAAACATTCCTGTTTGGTCCTAACCAACTCCCAGTTTGATGACCTTTTCCCGCCGGATCGGAACTAGCCATGACCATTCGGTTAGCACTTTTCCGTATTTCCCGTATGATTACCTAACCGCTCCGCATAGCAACGTTCATGTTAATTGTCGTGCCCCGTTCTTCGTCCAACCTGTTATCGAAATCTATTATCCCTACCCTAAATGGAAACTGTGTCGTGGTAACTGTCGTCTTTCGTTCTGCGCTCAATCCATTATCGT